ACATCTGGTCCCCAAAAACAACGCTGAGACAGCAGCGCAGCATTTAGCTGCAGCGTAGAGATACCGTAACTCTAAGCGGTACCCTATCCGTTAACTTAACGGGGCCACTTAGAGCTACGTTGGCAGAGGCCTGTAACGGGGGTATTTTTTTCGAGTTACGTTAGCACCCGGGGCTAACGGGCACTATTATTTTGAGTTACGCATCAGCCACGTAACCCGTTACCGTAACACTGTTGCGCACATACTATACCTCATACCCCAACCAACGCAGGATGGATGTATTTCACCCTTCAAGAATGAAATCACCACCCAATCGACCAATTTGAGATCAAGCTTCCCCAAAGGAGAACGCCAAGGGGACTTTCCGCATACTCACGATGGATCTAATCCGATTCCTCAACTTCCAACTTCCATATGATTACATCATTTTTTTAACTGACTCTTGTCCAATTTTCCCCTTTCATCCCCATCTCCAAGTCCTACCTTCAAGTTCCTTCTTCATTATCACTCACAACCTTGATCCATCTATCGTATTCACCTCAGATCAATCATCAATTGATTTACCAATCATGATCAATCCAAATCGTCGTTTCTTCACTGGGTTTTTTGTTCAGATGTTCTATCTTTTAGTTTTCCAGCTATCGGTCATGCCAAGTTCAAGTCAGCAATCACAACTCAACTTTTCGTCAGTTCCAGCCACTCCTAGTCGGCCTCAAAGAACTCGCAACCGTGTTACGACGCCGGGCATGGTTGCAACCAATTCCGATAGCCGTCGCAGACTTTCGATTGATCTTGACGCCCCTCAACCAAGTGCAATCAAGCAGATCGTGATTGAAACGGACTGTTCCGACGATGATGAACCAGTTGTTAAACCTCCAGCAAGAAAGAAACAACGCAAGACGACCACGACCAAAACCGAAGATGATTCCAGTCAGGTTATCAAACGTCGAGCCAAAAAAAAACCAGAAAGACCAACATCACCACCGAAGACGAGGTATGCTACGATATGTTTATCTTCATCATAACCATTTAAACGTATTACTCATGCTATTGTTGAAGACATCTTCCATACAAGTCACCAAGGAAATCCTCCGAGCGGATTCAGATGAAGAAAACAACAACCTTCGCAAACGGAAGCATGTGGACATCGACGAGGAGGCAAAGACCGAATCACTTTTAGCGTACTTCGGAAAGCCATTTCACAGCAAACCGAATGATGTATGTATTTCCTTTAATTTCTTCTCATCCAGATTATTAACTAATCAAGTTATATTATTTGTGTTGGTAGGATAAGTCAAAACGACCATTAGCTTATCCGTGCTTATGGTGCTCCAGGGACAAGAACAACCCTGTTCGAATCAGTTACACCAACCCCACTGGCAACTTAAAAGCACATCGAGACGGTTCGACCCAGACTGGTCGGTCTTCGATTGGATGCCCTGGTCGACGCCAAGCTCGTGAGGCTGGACTTTCAGTACCTCCGTCGGTTGCCGATATTCGAGCTCAAGAAGAAGCCGAGCTGAAGAAGAGTGGTCCTATTGATTCTTTTGTGACTATAACCAAGGGTGCGAAGTTTGACAACCTTACCTTTAACCAAGGTATGTGTACTTGGCTTCTCCGCCAATCACTGCCTTGGTTAAGGCTTGCCGATCCATGGCTTCGTGCGTGTGTCCAATACTTGAGACCCGAAGCAAAACTTTACGGTCGACATTGGGCCGCGCAAGAGGCTAAACGACTCAACATGTCTCTGAAGACACAAGTCATAAACGAGCTGAAGGTGCGAATTTTATATTAACCTTGTTTTCTTTTTGACATTCTTCTTGTAAATTTGGCTAATTTGTTTGGATATTTTTATATTTCACAGAACTTAGAGTCTAAATTTTGTATGCAACACGATGTCTGGACTTCCAAAGGAAATCGACACGGTTTTATTTCGGCAACAGTCAATTACATCGATCCTACTTGGAAATATGTTACACGACACTTGACTCTCAAAGTCGTCGCTTGGGAACATCACGGAATATGGTTGGCCGAACCTTTGGCCAACGTGTTAATCAAGCATGACCTCGCTGGCAAGATAAGTAATTCTAATGTTATTTCTCTTCGACTGTGGTGCTGACATTGCTCTTGTGATTACTTGCTTAGCCAGACCACAGACTCAGGATCGAATAACAAGACAATGGCGCATGAAATGCACCGTCAATTCATGGACCATTGTGGTCTTGACTCGGAATACACTTGGAATCCAGACACGATGCACGCGTTCTGCTTCTGCCACAAGCTTGCGCTTGTGGTTGGAGCAGGACTTGGCGCGTTAGGTCTCAAAACACCACCTCCTCGCAAGATTAAGACAGCCTTTCGAGGTCGTTTCCCTACGGTGTCGACCACTCTAATCGAAGAGGACGAGCCAAGCCATCCTGATGATGGATTGGGACCGATATCAGAGGTGCCCGATGTTTCAACTGCGCCGGATGCTGAAGACGTTCCCTCCGACGTCAAACATGACGTTCAGGAACTGGATGAAGATACTATGGAGTTTGACCGATTGGGGGCAAGTGTAGCTGAGCCTGAAATTGACAACGAGGCCGATTGGGACGCGGCGGACAAAGACGATGAAACCATTCCCCTGCTCATTTTGGACGACACTGTGGCACCTACTCACCGTAGAGAGGCTAACAAGCTTCATTACATATTGGAAAAGGTAAAAGACCAATTTTCTCATGTGCTTTTGATTGGACCATCTTCTGATATGTCCAATCCAGCTCGACTTTGTAATTCGCAGGATTACTCGGTCATCCTCTTGGCGAAATGAATACACTCGAATTATGAAAGCGCGTGGGTTATCAATAGGCTCACTGATTGCTGGGTATGGTATTAGATGGAATATAAAGTACATCAGCCGACACAAAGCGTGGCTGGCTCGAGAAGTGAGTCATTGAATTTTCTCTTTTAACTGCCCAATATTTCACTTTCACTTATTTCGTTTGTTATTTCAAGATCATTGATCAGATCTTGAAGGAGGACCTTGCTCGTGTGCATTTGAAGACTCGACGACCACGCAAAAATGGAAAGCCACACGGCTATTTCCACGAGTTGTCAATCAGTCCCTCGGAATGGGCTTCGATCGAGGAGCTTAACTCGGAGTTGGAGGTCAGTTTGAGCTTATCAACAATTTCATAAGCTTACGATAATATTGACATATTATCTTTAGCCATTTTTGACCATCACTAAACAGATGGAAGGGAACATGCCCACCGGGGCCATGATGATTCCCAAATATGTCGAGCTCCAACGACGATTACAAGAGCGAGAGAAGAAATTATCAACAACTGACGCCCTTTATCCCATGATCGCGGCTATGATATCCAAACTGCAAGGTTACTTAAATGAAGCCCTCGCATGCAAAACTTCAGTGATGGCTACAATACTCCACCCAGCTTTTCGACTCAAGTTCTTTGAGAGGTTCTTTGAAAAGACATCATCAACATACATTCAAACTGAATTAACTTTCAACCGGTTATTCAAGGACTATCAGTTGCGATCAACACAAAAGAAACCAAGTAATGTCAAATCAGGCCAATCAGGTAACACCTCGAATGCCTCGTCTTCGGGTATTTTCAATCTGTATAGCGACGATGAGGAATCAATGGAGGATTTGGGCGATGACTCACAAGTGAAGGACTACTTTCGATCCGTTCTTCGAATGAAAGAGCCAGAATACGATTTGGGAAACCCAAACGAAGCTCTTCGATGGTGGTCGGTAAGTACTTTACTTCGTGGTCTTCATTTCGCTTGAAGAAGCTGTTCTCTGAATTTGAATCTCATTTCTATTTCAGGTCAACCATGCTCGTTTCCCAATCATAGCTCTGATGGCTCATGATTACCTTGCATCCTCTGGCTCATCGGCTGGGCCAGAGCACACATTCTCGGCGGCCGCCGATATATGTTCCTCAAATAGAGGAGGGCTTTCTCCAATAACCATTGAACGGTCTGTCTCAACCCACATGTGGCTGGTTGAGATGGTACCTCTTGGTGATGAGTTCAGCAAGGTCGTTGAGAATATCAGAGTTGAAGACTTCATGAGACAAAAGGTTTAATTTTCTAATTTTTATTTCTTTCTTTCATTGCTGTATCGTTTGGTGAACAAATTTGTTTCTTGATATTATCTAAATACATGAGGTAATCTAATCTATAATAGTACTTTTCCTCCATTTTATGTCTGCTTTAGCCAAGTTAGCGCGTTAACTAGCGTTAACGTAACTGGAATAGCTAAGCTATCAGTTCGCGATAGCTTCCTGAGTACCAAAAAGTTACGTTACGGGTGATAGCGTACCTCTGGGAGTTACGCTAGGCGTCCGGGGATATTTCCGATAACGGATAAAGCTACCCTACGCGTTACAGCCTTGGTAGCGCAGAGTTGCGCTGCTGTCTCAGCGTTGCCAAAAACCTCTCAGAAACAAGGAACCGTGCACAGGACGTGAGTGAGGTCATCAAAAGCCTGACCCAAAGCCATCTTGAGAGCATGTTGATGGCTTGCTTGTTGAGACATGAGGAAAGCTTGAAGGTCACAGCTGGCTTGGAGGAAACTTAAGCTTAGTTAAGCTTGAGGAAATTGCTGAACACACGAACGAGGGGAACGTTAACAGGGCTGAAAAAGATTGACTTTATACCTCAAATTTTATCTTTGTTTCGTTTCATCCACTGACGCTAGACTTTTAGAGCGTCTGATGCTTGCATTGCCGTCTACACTATCTTCGGTTCTTTGCTATTTTAGTCCCTTCAAAGTTTTATCTTCTTACACTTCAAATTTCATGTCTGCTTTGGCTTCCTGAAACAAAGTTGCTTACCACATGGGCTGGACATCGTGTTTTTCGCGGTTTCCACCGTTTCCGTGATTTCCACTTTACCTCGCGGTGGCTCCCACGCTCTTGAAAATCTGACCAACACTGAACGGCACTGCGGATCAGGCATCAACCAATTCGACCATCACTTCGGTCAACATGAAGCCAATTCAGACGACGGTCTTGATATTTAATTGGCCTATGCTACTATCAGCTATGGGCGTTTGGGATTTATCGGAATTATCTAACACGATAGGTCTTCCTGTTGCAACCACGGAGAGTCATGTTGGAGCATTGTCTCACTTGAGCAAACCCAAACCACATGACACTTCATCTCAACCTTCCGTTTCTTCACATATTTTGCCTGTTGCAGACGAACAGCCTTTGGAAACTCTCACAAACTCCTTCGATCATCTTGAAATCACGCAGCCCGTTTTCCCTAATTCAGAGGCATATCATGAGTCAGAGCGATTTTCCTACTTGTGAGTGTATCTGTCCAAGATTGATTGGATATGGAAATCTTTTTCTGATCGTCAGTTGGTTGATAGTGGTCTGCAAGGTTCCTCGAGTACATCCAACCCGCTGCTTCAGGATTCGACATCTGCTAGTCTTGTGAATGAAGAACCCCGAAAGCGCGCACCAGTTCCATTGTTGGAATCAGGACTACTCAAGCGCCCAGCCAACACTCATGAAGAATTTGAATATCAACCTTCCAGGAAAAAACTCCTTCGGGGTCCTACGTCATTTGACATTGGTCAAGTAGAAAAATATCCGCCATCCGTGTATACCGACTTTCATACCTCGGATTCATCAACTCGCCCGAATCAGCAACCCTCGACGTTACAATTCAAACCCCTTCCGAGTTCTGCACTCGACTCTGAAATGCATCATGATTTCAACCTCGAAGAACTGCGTTTTGAACCTAATATAGCTAATATTCCATTTGATATTGAAAATCAACAATCAACACTAGCCATTCAAAGATACTACGGGAAAGCTTGGCCTCAAGAAAAACAAAACAAGGAGAAATTGAGGAATAAACACTTTGAAGGAAATTTAGATCAGAAATTGGTACCAAATTCAAATCATCAATTGGATTCACCCAGAGCATTAATTGATAGAATTCAACGGGAATTTGAATCATCTTCGGATTCATTACCTATGAATGAAGTATTGGATAATTATTTAGACATTTTAACTATTTGCTCTGAAGTAATTTCCTCTAACGGTATACCTACAAACATGGAAAAAGATGTTCGTGATGGTTACAAATGGTTGAAGGAAGAATTCAAAAGAGGGCTACAAATCTCATATCAGAAACAGAGTGGGGGCTTCAAGAGTATTGTTCATAGAAGTTATTGGTTGGGTAATAGATCATATAAAACAAACTATGAAATTATGGCTGCCAAGTATGTATTAGAATTTATGCGTCAAGAACGAGATCACTGGATCGAGCATTTAACTCCTCGGATTGCTCGTGAGTTATTGGCCAGAACTTTATTGATCTCAGCAAAAAGGGTACGACCATTGAAATATAGTGGTGGACCGGGAAGAATATCATAAGCAAGCTTGACTTCTGATGATTGGTTCCGTAATGTTTTAAAAAGCTCTCGTAATCCATATAATTTAAATTGTTTAACATGAAGTCAATTCTTCAAAGTTAACAATACTTTGGAACCCTCCTGTCGAGATAAATGTTGAACAAAACCTTTTGAAGTAAGTTACTAAATGGTTGCCCCAGAAATAAACCAGAGCTTTTTCTCTTTATTTTTTTGACTCTTTACTGTGAGCATTTTTCCATTGATCATGATTCATAAATCTATTGGTGAAAAAGGTTTCATGCCAAGCAGATTGTTTGTCATCGGAGCTCAGCTTGACTTGAGCCCCAGAAAGGCACGCCCAACGTGTCTGCTGCATGGTTGATTACACAAAGAGCGCGCACGGATGCGCCCTTATGCTCAAGTCCTTTTCCTCCATAAACTTTCAATTCGAAAAACTGAACCATCACCACTCTCATTGGACTACGATTTCCTGTCTATTTCCGATCGCGACGCTCAACTTCCGAATTTAACGAGCTTGCTACTTTACCAACTAGAACCGGAACTTTTATCAATAAGGGCTCCTGGTCTGTCCACCAGATCATCCATGTGTCGGTCGCAACGATGAGCAAAGTGTCACCCATCAAGATTTCGGATCTAGAAAACTTGAAAAAAAACGATACGAACTTTTCAAGTCTGGAACATTAAGATAAATTTTATCCAGATCTTACGCCTGCTGCGATAAATTCTCATGTTATCTTCATGAGACGAATGACGGACGATGAAATCATGTCACCCGACCGGAATGTTTTGCGATACTCATTCACGATTCGTTAATACCTGATTCTCCGCGCATTGATACGAGCCTCGAGTATCGACTTGCTAGAGATGCTAGATACCAAAGTTACTTCGAACGAGGTGCAGAAGCCCTTAATTCCCGTGGACCTTCGAAATTCAAAAATCACAGCTTCAGATGCCATGGATTTTTGATCGAACGCGATCCGAAAATAACTGCGCCAACCTTCTGTGCTCGTCAATCTTGTAGCTACAATTCGCGTTCAGCTTGTAGAAACGATCTCCCCAATCTTCGGCAGGAAGCCGATTTAGAACTGGCCACTATTCTTTTGATCTTCAGTGCCACTTGATCAAACATTGGCTCATATGTAAATTGAATGTACAAAAGATGGTGTAGCCGCACGAAGGTCAGAACTGGTTGAACCGTGACGCCAGGTCTTGGAAGGTTGAAAGAACAGGTTAGTGCTTATACACTTCATGTTTTGTCTCATTAGATTCAATTTCCAGTTTTATCTATATTGTTCAAGGATCAAAAATAAAGAACCCAGATGAACATCATGATCCAAACTTATATTGGATGAAAGCAAAGGCAAAAGTCGGCATTGATTCACTCGACTATCATATTTTATCTCTTGATCTCTTTGGATTTATAAAGAAAGTCATACCTCTCTCACAAAAAAAGTTTTTCGACATTTCTTATCATCCCTCTTATTTCTCTTCATTCCTCTTCTGCGATCAATTTTTATGTTCGATTTTCTGGGACACAAGAAACTCAACAACTTTTTTTAGTTTGTTTGCAAGGATCTTGTTTTCTTTGAAAATTTGAAAAGATTAAACAAGAAAATATTGACCAAAGAAAAAGGAAAAAGAGATAAAGAGAAAGAAATGAAGAATTGCTATTTTTCGTTTACCTATGAGGGTATTGATTGATACAAAGATCCTAAAATAATTTTTATTCTTTTTTTCCATGTTTTTTCGATCGATTGATTTTTCTTTCTTTCAAAAAAGTGGAGAGAACAACCTTTGATTGAAATTGATTAAAATCATCATGAGGCTATGATTGAGAATACATTTCATTTTTTTTCCGAGTTTTACATATTTTGTTTCTTTGAGATTTGATAGCTGTTTAGTTTTTCTAAACTTTTTCTTACTAGAGATTTGATGGGTCATTGGATACTGATATTTGCTTGGAATTTCCTGTCAAATATACATCAGATCTAGAATGACGCGTGAAGACGGTGCATGTTGTAATGATGATGATTGATTTCAGAAACACAATGTCTTCTACTTGGATGTGGAACACTGATGAATGCAATAATGATTAGTCAAATTGAAAGATCGTTAACAGGTTACCAGAAAAACATTATGAATTTTAACAAGATTCAAAGAGGCAGGGTATCACAATCATAAGTCCAAGTCCTAATTCTGATCAAGAAGGAAGTTTTATCAAGAATAATTATTTTAAGAGTGAAAATAATCGAAGACTATCCCAGTATGAAATCAAGCAAGCGATCATCAATTAAGGTACAAGTGAGAAACCAATTACAATGAAATTGGCGAGAAATAAACTCAGGGTAATGGTATTTGAGAAAACTAAAGCTGCACCATCTGATTTTGCACTTGCGACTTGTCTATCAGTTGCTTCACCATTCGAAGAAGAAGTACTATTCAAAGTGTTGGAAGCACTAGGAGAATTCGTGATACCTGTGTTATTTGTGAGTGGAACAGTTTGACCGCCATTGGGGGTAGGTGTGGATATAGCTGATGGTTTTGGTGTTGCGGGAGCCACAGGTAATTCGTTGAATAATGTAGCTGGATCGTAAGATTGACAATCTGTTATAGTAGGGATTAAAGGTTTATATGGAATATCACTAAGTCTAATGAAATAAATCAGTTTATATATCATCAAATCTATTCAGTTTCATCAAGAACTCTACTCACTTAATTATTCCAGCAGATTCAGGTGGTTGAGGCCAAACTTTTTGTACTCCATTTTCTATGTAAACTCCTACTGGTAGTTGATTTTCACCTCTGCAGGCTTGAAAGGTACCTGCGATTGCCGTATAGTTTGCTGGCATATTATATTCACAACCGACTCGATCATAGATATCTGAAGTTCGGGTTGAAAAGTTCAATTATCAATCTTTATGTTCAACCACTCATGATCTCATACGAATTCAAAAAAGTTCCTTACGTTCACATAATCTAGCTGCGTCAGGTCCGGCTGGATCACAAGCTTTGAAACAAAATATATTTGATCCAATAAAACTCGACCATTCGATCACTTGTATCGGTTTACTACTCTGACCATTCTTTCCGAAAGCTGTTGAATAAACTAAACCTCCTAACGGATTTCCTCTGAGATCTGCACCATGTGGATCTAATTCTCCTCCTGCATCATCCGGCTTAATATTCAATGCTGTTTGATCGATTTGTCCTACTATTTGAATATATCCTGGGGTTCTGGTTCTACACGAAGGAATTTGAAAAAGTAAGTATCGGTATCTTGAAACCCGCCATTCTTGTTATTGATAGAGAACTTACAATTGGATCCCTTGGATCGCACCGGCTGGAATCATACGGGCTCCATATTTCTTCTTGGTACAATAAGCCACCGTTTCACCTTCGATATCTCCTACAACTGAATTTGGAGCTTGAGCTCCCCATAAACAAAACCGTAAAATTGAAAAAATGCCAGCGAAGAAACATGATGGGTGAAGAAGAATGTTCGGCTTCTGACGTCAGTATTGAGCCACCTGAATGGAGTTCGGGAATTGAGTAAGAAGACTTATCATCGATGGAGTCTAACCAAGCTGTTTGGCATCTAGAGTCTGGAGTTTGAGTAGTAGCATTACAAATATTGTAACCTATAGATTCCAGTTAAGAAGAAGACGAGAGTGGATTCAGTTGACTTATTGCATGCGAGTAACAATAGTAATATTAAAACAAGATGACGACGTACCATATTGAGTCCCTCTCACTCCGCTTCCAGTATCAGCTTGGTAAGGAAGGTTAGGCCAAGGAAATCGTTTACCAGCTAAAGGAACATCACCACCAGTGTTTTGACTTTGGGTGGAGGAAAGAGATAGAAGAAAGATTAGGTTGAAGATTGTAAAGATTTGAGACCCTTTAATAATAGCAGGTTGAGAGATCATCCTGTGGCACCGCAAGTGCTTCAATCAAATGGAAAGAAGTTCACAACAATTATAAATGTTCTACAGTTTTATATCTGACAAAGCTCAATTCGAAAACTTCCTGGAGCAGGTAAATATCTGAAGAGAATTGTAAGGAAAAAGAAATGATTGGATGTAAAGAAATTCTTCGTTCCGAGGAAAGAATCACTTGATCTCATATTTATATCACCATCTTTCTTGTTTTTCAAACTTAAACTCCACCCTGCGGCTAACTTGCTAACATTGCGCTGGAAGCGTGTGAGAAGCAACGAGGGAGTTTGGTTGAGTGTAAGTTCCTCGCTGCCCTCGAAGCGTGCGAGACGCGTCGCCGTCGTTCAACTTTGTTGAGTTGATCGATTCCTGTAAGTACTCGCGTGATCGCTTCAAGGAACGCAATCAAAGTCGAATCAAGAGAAATATATACCTCGGTGAAGGTCCGTAATACAACTGATCTATTATTGGGATGAATTGAAATATGTAACACTTCAGAACACTTGCCTAGTGTGGATTTTGAAAAGTGCAAGGCTCATTGGTACAGCTGTTTCGAAAACAAAACTGGTTGTCGTTGTTTTTTTCTTTTTTTTTTTCATATCCGCGGTCAATTTATTTGACCTGATTGGGCTAATTCTCCCAATCGGGAGCAAATATGTATCCAAATTCTATTCGCATGCACCTTGTCCAAGCCCCCATCTTGCCAGATCCACCTCACCACATCTCACGAAACAAAAACAACAAGAATGCCTCGATACAGCGCCGACATCAAAGTGCAGGCGATTACTTTATTGTCCGAAGGTATGAGTCGAGCAGCCGTCAAACGCCATCTGCGATCTGCAGTACATGTGGACACCCTCACCCAATGGCAAAAACTATACGAATCAACTCTAGCCGTGGTTCGCAGTGCATCAGAATATGAGAAACGTGGTCGTCCCCTCGTATTCTCAGATCAAGAACGTGAATTCATGGCCGACTTGATCTCTGTGGATAGGAAGAAATAGAGGTTGATGGTTGTGATGTTGGAAATGTGATTGGGCCAGTTTGGCTGAAACGTTGATAAGGAAAATGCCCCGGTGCATGTAGGATTGGTGCTTCTTGAGTCAAATCTTGAGCCGGGTGGAAGAAGCTTGAGGATGGACCGCTATAAGAACCACGAGACTGTTGAGCTGTGTTGAAATTAGTGGTTCTTTGATATGGGAGTGATTGATTGAAACTTTGAAAAGGCCGTGAATTCCGATCAGCAGGCATGTTGAGGATGGCTCAATTGTGTTGTAGACAAACGTGGCGCTGGCTTCAAGCTTGCAATGTGATTCAACAGGGTCCAACAGGATTGAACCTCATGCCACGTAATCAGCTGTCATCAGCCTTTTGCGCGGTTTTTCTGCTAGATTCAAAACCGCGGATATGAAAAAAAAAAAAAAAAACGACAACCAGTTTTGTTTTCGAAACAGCTGTATCATCGTCGGGTTCGATTTGTTTTCAGCTCTTTCTTTCGCTGCTTGGTCCGCTTTCTCGTTCAATGCTATTCCTTCATGCCCTGGCGTCCAGTAAAGAATGATTTTGTATTCTGGGTAATTATTTGATAAGCCTTACGCAGTTATCTTGCGAGATATGATAACAACAGCATTCACAAATTAAACCTTCGTGAATGGATTAAATTGAATCTTGGATCATAAGACTCTGAAACCGTACCAAACCAACTAACCATTCCTGAATCCTCACAAACACATATTTGATACAAGTATACCAAGCCAATTCTCAAAATTATTCAAAACACACAGACACACGCAGACGATTTTTCCTTCCTTCTCAAAAACAACAACTATATCCTACAACAACAATAGCTATGAAAAAATTATTACGTTTTTTTTTCTTGGTTCTTTACCTTCCTAATTTCCCACTTAATGATCTTTCAGGTCTACCAAACACTTTTAATTGTCCACTTCTAGAAACAGTCACTAATCTATCTCTCATAAACTTGATCTCACTCAAAGGATCCACACTCATTTCCTTTACCTAAAACAAAACCCCAGGCATGAGTCCCAATATATATAAATTGAAAGGGAGAAAACACTTACCATAACAGGTTGTAAAATTGACACTTCGTTCCTACCAGGAGATAAATGAAACATTCCAATGTCTTCATCTTGATTCGATTTACTACCTAATTCGTGATTTGAATTCAAATCGATTTGACCGATTCTTTTACGTTGTAGTGAAAGTGAAACAGTTGAAGTCATCGATTGTCTTCTACTGTTACTCGAATGTAGTTGTAATAATCTAGGTCTAGATAATGATGCACTTGATAAATCCCACTTGTGTGGAGAAAAAACAACAACAAATAAACTTTAATTAGTGTCTATATTTCAACTCAAAGGTATAAGGAAATCAAAAAGAAGACTAACAAAGATTAATTTACAATCATCTGAAACTGATGCAAATCTAGTCAATCGATCATCACTCATCCATGGATCATAAGCGATTCCAGTAACAAAAGATGCATGGCCTTGACATCTGGCTACAATCCTTTGATCTAATGGAGAATAAACCGTCACTAAATCATCTTGTCCTCCTGTCTAGGTTTTGGGGGCGTCGAATCCAAGTTTAAGTTTTTTTTTTTCAAAATTGATTCAGAAAGATCAGATCGAGAATCTAGAGTAAAGAGCAATGTAATTAAATAGACAGAATTTTGCTTACGAAGATTAATCGCCCATCTGATGACCAACAAACGCACAAGAGTGCTCCAAAGTAACTTACATACGTATCCAACAACCTTTTTTTACATAGACGAGGTTCGATCATCGAAGAGTCACCCATCAGCCTTAAATCAAGATCTTAAGTGAGAGCATTTCAAATAATAAGAATGTCTGAATCTATGCCGGAGAAGTGTTATGCAATTTCAAAATTGGAACAAAACAGAAAGGATACAAGAAATGTTTGTGCAAGAAGAACAAGTAGGTATAAAGAGTGGTTCACAGAGGGATAGGCAAAGATCTTGTCACATACCTCTCAGCATTGACATCAATGATCCTTAAACATCCGTCTTCACTTACTGCCGCACAAAGCCGAGAGTCAGGCGAGAAAGAAAGATCTAAGAAGATAAACCCGATTTTCTATGATGTGGTAAGAACATTGATCTAAAGACTCTTTCCCCCTGAAAAGAGGTACAGTTGAAGAGAGCGAAGGAAATTGAAATAACCTCTTATTGCCTTCCGTGATAATCGCCAATGTGAGATCGGATTCAACTTGTTACGTTTCTCAATTCCAATATTGTTCGGTAACTTACTAACTACCATCGGTTCTGCCCTACTATCAATTGGTAAAGTTGATTTCTCTAACCTAGGCCAAGGTTCGATCACAAACCCACTGAAGTCTTCTCGATCTTTATCCCAGCTAATCACTGTACCATCCTCATGACTTGAAACAAAGCTACTAGAAAAATAATTAGACCCTCTAGTTAACCAAACCACTTTACTCACACTTGAACTTGATACACATCCACCTTTATTCAAACGAGTATATCTTGCACAAAACGGATCAAAGTAAATTAAATCACCACTAGCAAATCCAATGATCACATCAAGTGTTCCAGCTGAAGCAGTTGATTGATTGATTGCAACACAAGTTGGAAAACTTTGAAATGCTAATTTAGCTAACTCAATCGGTCTACCGGCTACAAGGTGAGTCCAAATTAAAGTTTTATTCCATGTATAAAATGCGAATGTACGTTCTTCGGATTCTGGGTTATCTGTATTGGAAGATCCATAGAGTGCTTTGAGGACGGATTGAGAGAGTGGAAGTCCTTCGGAAGATTTGATAAAAGTCGAATTAGAGCCTTTGAATGCAGCTCGAGGTCTGGGTGAGATTTGAACTAGACTATTAGGACTGAGTGGGCTTGAGGAGTGGGTACCGGTCGGATTACTTGAGAGTGAGGAAAGTGTTGAACCAAAGTTGATCGCTCTTGTCTTAGCACTCATTGGAGACAATGTACTACGACTAGGTGGGGCCGTATGAGTTTCTACAATTCCGCCGAGCTGATTTGTAGGCATATGCGTGCTTGGGGGATTCAGGTTACCAACCGAGCTTTGTAGGGATGACGGATCATCTGAAGAGTGGATTGAATCTGCTTGATCGATTAGAGTAGGTTCAGAAATCGTAGGTTCGACTGAAGCAGGGTCCCTTGATCGACCATATTTCGTTCCACTGAGAAAAGCAGGATGTAAGAAAAGATTAGGTGCTTGTGAAGACGAAAACTTGATGACGATAGTATCAATTGCAGATGGATATGCTGGTGGTGCAACTGAAGGATTGATACCATCAGCATTGGCAGGTACACCTGGAATAGCAGGAATGTAAACGGGAGGTATGACCGGAGTTGATCCAGATAAAGTAGAAGCTGAAGCTCCATTCACATTCGTAGAAGGATTTGTGCCAGGGTTTTGATTGTTATTGAGATTTCCAGATGTGCTGGTAGAAGCCGGAAGTGCGTTGGCAGTTGCATTGAGTCCTAAATTGATGATATTATTTGAAGAACCAGATGGTAAGATTGAATTTATATTAGAGTCAGTCAAAGCCCTTTGGACGTTAAGCTCTACTAAGACTGAATAAGGTCCTTCTGGAGCCAAGAAGGCAGCTGGCATCGCTAGATTGTTTCGATTGGGCTCAGCATTGGCCATTGAAGCGGTGGAAATCATTTGATGTAGATTTCAAAGATATTCAACACATTCGAATCAGACTTGAAGGAGATATGTTCCAAGTTGTAGATTTGTTGTGGTGAGTTATTGAGTCGTTGGATGATGGTAAATAGGAAACTCATGAATTGATCAAGTTGAAGAATTGGAGAAGGTCTGCTGAGGTAACCTGGGAATTTATTCGGCAAATATCACAATTCCCCTGGCCCCGACTATAAAACACCCCAGGGCCCACGAAGCCAATCTCATAAAACCCGACGTCATGATGACGCAGGGCCTGCAAAAAGTTTGCATTGTGACTTCAACTTCACAAGACTCAGAGGCTTGAAAAAAATTATTGACAGCTTTGAAGAGTGTGATAAAAATTAAACTTTAAGATGGATTGCACTTGATCATAATGGGAAGCTGCACACATAGGTATATTCTTCCAGCTTTACTTGCAAACTACAAATAAGCTCAGATACCCTGATTTCCAACTCCGTCCCTTTTGCTTCATTGGAAAGAATTTGAGTAAAAAGAAAGGGAAGGGTGAGTTTCTTTGTAGCTTGGTTCATAAATGAGAAAATGAACTCCCTTGGGCGCATTTGACAAACTGGCTTAAAGATTTCTGCTAGTTGATCATCATTAGTTTATGTACAAATATGAACATCTCTACCATTGAAGGGACTTGAGATTTCTACCATATTAACAAAAATGTCGCACCATTTTGGTTGTTAATCTGTATGGCATGATGGAAAGAGGATAGCGTATAATATTTACTTTGTGTTTGAATATCATAGCCTTAGGAGTGCAACTCAAACAAAAAGGCTAAACATAACTGATGTACTATCATACATCATATAGAGCTTTTAATATCTATCTTCCTTGCCTATTTGCAAAAAGGAAAGCTTCTAATATATGCAAGTCTATTGAAAATGATGAAGCAATATGAAGATTGGCTGGAGAAGAACTCCACAAAGGTCATCTTTATCATATTTAAGTATAGTTGGACATCAGAGGGAGACCAAGTTCCGACATCTAAAAGTCAAATTCAAAGCACAAAAATTTGTAATCAGTATTGAAAATGTAGGGTTTGAAAAACATCATGTAAGCCAGAGCCACCAACCTTACATTGTAAGATTTCCACACCATCAAAACCCCTCGTGATATTAAAATCTACTTGACGTCTCGCTATTCGATAGCCAACTCAAAATTCTTGATGTCAAGCTACAATTTTCTTGCTCGTACGCAATAATGTCTTGCTCGTATGGCATAGCGGGGGGAGAAGATGGAACCCTATATTGATGCTCCTCCTTATGAAAACAGGTGTCTGGATAATCAGTCTGGTATTGATGTTGCTCCTTATTGATTGAGCTGTCTAGATGATTGATCTCTGTAGGTTGAACCACACCAGTAGATGAGTTTGGGGCATGTGGATAGCCATGTTGAGAGCCAGTACTGAAGATCAGATGCTGCTTGTTTTTGGCGATGCGAGGGCCTCTTTTGCGTTGTTGATTCCAATTTGGTTTCTTCTGGTTCTGATTGGCACTGGACAACCTTCCACAAACTCCAGTCTCTGTGTGCTGCTGACGGCGGGAGCTTCGAGCGACTCGCTTTCTCGGAGGAGAAACCTGTGTCCAATGGTCCCATCCTATCACTCTCTTGCTGTCTTTGGTTGATAAAGGTACGTCTACGCTGTCCGAAAAGCCATTGCAATCATCATGAATCCTCATGATGAGCGGATCAAATGGTAAAGGGTGATGTGGATGAGGCAAAAGATCAGACGACCAACCCCAGAACTCAGTCTGATAGCTTTTGAATTGGATTTCGGCCGATCAAAGACTAAAGCCGTCATATCCCGCGATCATGATTCCTTGCTCCATCATGCCGTACTTCTGTAGTCGAATGAGACATTTTATGACATTCAATCTTTAAAAAAAAACTATAACTGAAGGAATTTTTCAAGGGTCAAGGGGAAAAAGAGAAACTTAATCAGAGATTTACTCACTCTGCGACTTTTCCTGACTTCAAGTCACGTCAGAATTAGTGCTTCAAGGCTATTTAAATCGGCACGGGAACGTATCTTACTTAAAATCCGGTATTCCGCAGGTGCGTACTGAGGGTGAATCGAGATTGCGATTGGATTTTTTGGTGTTATGAACTCGTCACAGATACCCGGAAGGAAAGTATCTATAATTGATGTTAAATATGTCACACAGAGGTATGTACCGAGTTGTATTCGGAAAAGATAGGAAACAATGAATCAACGGCTCACGTTACTTGAGAAAAGTTGACTGCGACCGAATTTTTGATCGTCTCCACCATCTAATGGATCGAAAACGAAGCATCAGATCAGTGACAAAATCGTTAACAAGCAATATTGAACTTACATCGCTACAGGAAAGATAAGAGAGCTCTCGACGGAGAAAGAGGGACTGATAGGTTGAGCCTAGATTTTTTGACGTGACGGTGAAACCAGCAAAATTCTCGGCATGTTTTGCATTGCCCGTGTTGAGGGCTCACCGCTTCTCATAATCAGACATATGTTGTAGCTTTGATTCTTTCTAGAGACTTTGTCAAACTCGAAGCAACATAGTTTCCAAAGACAAATCATTTCCTGAGAAATATATGGATAATTGGCACTAAGCCAATGTTCAAAGTACATGTTGAATGAGAGATGTTGAATGAGAGAATCCAAAAGTTTCATCAGTTTTATTGACCCACAGTTGGAGTTTGAGCTGAGGATTTTCCAAAGATTTCTTGAATTCAAAGTGAGCTAACGCTATAAACGTCGAGGATGATTGAAGGTTGAAAAACCAAAGCCACTTTTCTTCCTTGGGATATAAATAAGCAACATATATATTTTGACTAGTTAGCCCAAGCATTGAGGTGCATTCTGACAAAGTGATCGTTTTTTGGTTATGTTTTGGGACGTTGGATATGCGGATTTGTGTTAAACATAGATGCAACATAAAATGCAAACAAAACGACAACAACGCAGTTCGGATAAAAAGAAGCAAGTTGTCTGATTATGCTTTAAATCGGTTTCGGTCCTAGCTTGTTATTGTTGACCACTCATCGACGAATCAAATAAACGCTCAATGCTTAGTACTATGTATCTATTGCTGGAGTCTAAGGATAATCGAAATGGATTTGAACTTCAAGAAGACGGTGATTGGCAGCACAAGTAAGCTTAACATAAGCCCCTCTTCCGACGCGGCCACGTCCGCTCTCGAAGAGGGGCTTAGGGCATACACCCCGAGCTTGGCCTGAGACCAGCAGGAATTTCGAGCACTTTTGCTTGAAATCCCTTTGTGAGGGCTTTAAACATCGTAAAAGGTTGCATGAAATTCAGGAGTGCCTCTGCTGAGCCTTCTACACAAGCACGTGTCACTTCCAGCACCACTTCCCTTGAGTGAAGTCGCTCCAAGGAGCTCTTGTAAATGTGGGCCTCACTACGACTTAATATGTCAGACCCGCGTTGCAAGAAAATTTCATCTAATTCGAGTTTCAAAACTTTTGAGCATCCTAACATAAAATTAAGTACCCACAAATGCGCGCCTAATTGCGCATGGTGCGTGGCCGCCGCTCGGTCGCCCATCCCACGCAAAGCTGAGCTAGAAATGGTCTGCATGAAAATTTTTGATCATTAGGTTTCCAGTGAGAATCCGAAGAAATGCCTGAACAGGTGTGATCAATGAGTGTGCAAGCAATTTTTTAAAGTTGCAGTCATTTAACTTTATTTAGCCATTTCCCAACCTTTGATCATCCCCACACAAACTTTGATCATCTCAACACCAAAGCCTGGATAAACATGAAGCAAAGAGAGTGCAGTATTCAGTCTCGGCCTTACATAACCCGCATGACAGTCTCAATATGTCAAACTCTAGAGGACCACAAACCACGAATATATCCAAAGGAGTTTGTGCATGCTTTTTTGTCCGCAAACGACCCTGTGCTAAATGTGAAGCGTCGTCTTTGGGCAAACAAAGGATCAAAGTCAACATTGGACATTGTCCGCGATATCAAGGACCTACTCAATTCCTCGGGTGCCAATGGCAGAATGATTTGGAGGCAATTCATCCTGGACGAGGTAACTACAGTTTGGGTTAATAAACACTGCATTTATATGCTGACAAATTGGAACACACGTACGGAAGGCTCAATTCTATGTGGATTCCGAGAACCTACCTGTGGGTGAATATCCTGGTGGTTCGTTCTACAAGGCAGATGCCATTTCCCTAAATTTTTTTGAGGAAGATCAGATGGTGAAACGTGCAACACAGGTGAAGGAAAGCATGGATTTCTTACATACCTTAATCGAATCAAAGCTATTGGGCTCGGCGACTAACACTGACAGAGGATTGATTTTGAGAGCTGGAGAGAATACTGGGAACGATGACTCTGACGACGAAACCAAAGGACCTCAAGCTGAAGAAGGCGCCGAGGATGATCTTGATATTATCAATCATCGAGAGGGCGTTTTGTATGCAAAAAAGCATAATCATCAAGATAAACTAAAAACTCGTGCTCGCCTAGTGAGTACTGAGTGATTTTGTTTGATAATATGGTCCAGATGATTGACTAAATCTCCCAGATTGCCGGTACCACTTGTGCTATGGTTGCTTTTGCAAAAAATCGGCGACAAAACGGGCTTCAACTGCATAACGCATTGACTTTCTTAGCGGTGGGGGTATCCGAACGTATGAACTCTTATTTGCACACAATTGGCCTATGTAGCTCACGAGATACAGCAACAAAAGCATTGAGGAGATTACGAGACATTAATGAGGCCAAACTGAAGCGTGTAATGAGGAAAAATCATACCTTTCCTCCGATGATCTGTTTCGACAATATTGACCTACTGAGACGTTTGTCAAAGGCACGGGTGGATGGAAACCAATGGATTTTTCGAGGGACATATGGCTATGTCCATGTGATCCCACCTCACTTAGCCCAAACGATGGATCCATTGTCTGAAAGCTGTAACTTGAAGAAATTCCTTGCTTACCACGACACAGCACAAGAAAAACCTGTTCGGTTATGGACATTCTTGCCAACCGTTCAAGAACAGCTCACTTGGAAAGCTTCACTTAAATCACAGCTGACAAAGTGTTTATATAAATACATCATTGGCGACGGTCCACGCCCTTCAACCAAACTCCCTTCAAAGCCACCACCGATCGAAGAAATCCCTCGATACAATCCGGAGATTTATATGCTAAAGATGCTTGATTGTTCAGAAAACTCGGCCGAAGGAATTAGTCATGTTTTTGACGGTATTTTGCAACAGACCGGTGTAGCACGTGAATTAAGTGCTAGTCGTATTCAGGTGGTTAATGGTGATGTGGCCACTTGTCAAGCGATTGAAAGTTTGAGAAAGAAGCTCTTCCCAGCGGGTTCCGATGTCGATACCGGTCAAAATCTGATTACAATCTTTGGCGCTTCTCATACTCTGTGGAATGTTGCACAAGCAATCCTTTGCGAGCACTGGGGTACTCCTGGTGTGAAGAATGATACTGGGGCCTGGCGATGGTGGCAGTCATTAGGAGGCTCAATACGTAAACCACCTGCGAAAATGGATTTTAACCAGGTCCTACAAGCGATTCATCAGATACACATGGCTACCCTCACTTTCTGTTTGTGCAGCCCGTCATAGCCTTACAGTCTGACAGCTGCACTGCCGTCTGGGGAGGCCTTGAGTCCCCCTTTTTTTTTTTTTTTTTTTTTTTTTTTTTTTTTTTCCTT